TTCCATTGTGGCAGCAGAAAAATAAAACATAGTGCCATAGCTCTCTAAAGCCATTAGTTAATTATTTCACATACTAATTCAGTGAGATAATCATGAAAATGTAGATATTGTGAAAAATGGACAAAGGACAATATAAATCAAACAATTGGTATTTCACAACTGGCAATATCTTAGGCGTATCTGGTATTTATAATAGTCACTATAATAGTTTTATTACCAAGTCATATTTCCTACTGATACTCAGAGTTCAAAAATTCACTAATGCAACAACATGACTCATTTACTTGAAAAAAAAAAGGCATTTATTATTTCAGGAATACAGTCATGCTGGTTTCCTTTTGTGTCACTCTGAGGTTGTGCCATTTTCTACAGAACCTTCAGTTTTAATGTTTTTTTAGTAAGAGCCTGTAGAAATAACAAATTCTGCTTCATAGTTAGGATGGGATATATCTTCCCATATTATACCACCACTGGCCAAAATGGTTGGAGTTTCTTGAAGTTTTTAATCCAGCAAAGTACATCTTGAATGTCATGATTTTCTCATTCCACTTTAACTATGTCCTCATAGTTACTGCTCTGAACAGCTGATAGTCTTTTTTTTTCTTCATTGGTTCTTGAAAGACAATCACATTAGGAAGTTGACAAAATACTGTATTTTCTATCTTGAACCTTTTTCTTAAAAAGTAGATTTTAGCTACCCCAGAACAAAAATAAATAGAATTTCATAGCAGGAAATGTTAAGAGGAAAAAAGTTTAAGATAAGGAAGTTCCTTTAAAATGGGAGTATTAAAAGTGTTATATTATATTACAAAAACTCAGCAAAGAGTTGCAGTGGTGGTGGCCACGGTGAGGAAATCCAATTAAAAAAAACAATGGTGGATAGTAGAAGAAGCCAATGCGGCTTTACAAAAAGTTTTCTGAAGATCACAAAACAGCGATAAATTGATGCATAGAAACAGACCACCAAGTAACAGTACATCTGATAAACCAGAATGAAGGCAGATAGACAACATTCTGAGCCATTGTGCAATTATCTCTTTCATAAGAATATATCGTTAGATTTTTACTAGTAGTACTTTTCTTCAGATATTGTTTTCAAATTTGATTTGGGGTTTTCTTAGTCATGTCATTCCCCAGACCAAGTTTAAAAAATAGTATTTCCAACAATCTGTTGGGATGAAAGGTATAAACAACATGGGAAAAACACAGAGAGCCTGGTTTGGGGACTTATTTCACATTGTCCAGAGTCTGCATCTGTACCCTGTTTCCCCCAAAATAAGATCTAGCATGTTTTTACATATGCACCTTATATAAGCCCTACCCCCCACAAATAAGCCCTACTTAAGGGCCACAGCCACAAGGCAAGGCAGGGTGGTGGTGGAGCTGCCCTATGCCCCTACACTGGCTTACCTCAGGGCCCCCACAGCCAGGCCATCCATGCCACAACACTTGCCTCGTGGCGGCAGCACCAGTAACCATGTGCAGCAGGAGCCCACATGGCCGGCAGCTCACTTCTTCTGCTTGTTTGTGGCCATAGCAGAGCAGGAAGCTGACTGACTTGCTGATGCCATGGCCATGAGGCAAGGCAGGGGTCAGGGCATGGATGGCCTGGCTGAGGAGGCCCTGAGGTAAGCCGGTGTGTGGTATGTAGGGCAGCTCCATCTCTCCTGCCCAGTCTTATTTTTGGAGAAACATGAGTATTTTCTTCTGTGTAATGAAATAAGTTATGCCTTTGTGTATTGCACTTTTTTCCAGGTATTGATCGAGTTGTATACATATGCATATACATTGCCTATATGTCCCAATGTCTATGGAAGTCAAACTAAATATTGCAGCTTTAGGCATGTGTTCCTCTTCTCCCTTTATGTTGGGTCTGTGTGCATATGTATGCACTGAGAAACATGGTATGATGTGGCTGCCGAGAGGGCAAATGTAAGTTTAGGTTACATTTAAAAAGTATAGTTTCCATATCACAGGAAGTAATAGTTCCATATTATTCTGCATGGATCAGACCCCCACCTCTAGTTCTGAGGAATATTCCTGGGGAAAAAAGATTCAGAGAAATTGGAACAGATGCAATAAAAGACATTGTGGCTGACCACAGGAGTCTAAAAAATCGGATGGCAAGATGAGCCCAAAGGAACTGGGTCTACATAGCCTTGAGAAAAATTGGAGGGGATATGAAAGCTTTCATAAGCACTTGAAGGTTAAGATTAGGACAAAATCAAAACCTGTTTCCTAGTATTCCAGAGTGCAAGAAATAGTACAATAATTTATTTTACAGGAAGGAAGGTTCCAAACCAATTTTATATTTAATTTAATATTTTTAAAATCCTCTTATCAGGAGGACTAATTGAACAGTAGAACCTTTTACACCAAAAAATGATGAATTGGTCTTTATGGGATTAGTTCAGATGGAGGACCTGATATTTTTAAATTTGGATTAAGCAGTAGTGAAAAGAGATTGGTTTCAATAACTAAAGGCCTTTTTGATATCTAGGATTCTACCAATGCCAATGTACTATCTTCATTCCCAAGAACCTTCTGTGTATGAAGTGTAAACTAGGCTCAGGAAATAAGAAGAACTGCTCTGGACCATTACAAGAACAAACAGTATAAATACAATATAGTGAAGCATATTTAATATTTAATTGCAGTCAACATCAATATGGGAGGATATCTACATCCAAGTACAGTAGGTATCACTCCATGGGCAACCACAGTGGGGTAAGGAGGTGCAAATGATGTCCCATGCATCATGGTATCATCATGAAAATGATGAAACTCTTGTACTTGCTTCAGATAGAATGATATGATTACATAAATGTTTCATTTGCTCAGTGATACCATGACTTGTGTCATCATTTTGACATCATTATAGCTTTTTAAGGACACCTCTCGACTGCACAACGTATTGGTGTTACATTTTATTCTTGTTGGCCTGAGGAGGAAGAGCATTCAGAATTAGTCTACTACCTAAAGCAATTCCAACAATACTGTTAGGAAATCAGATACTGATGTTGTTTTGTCTGGGTTTCATTAAGCAAGGGAAAAACAAAAAGAGGAAAAACATGTTGCTTAATAGGTGTAGATTGCACATGGACAGTTTTAATGAAATGCAGTCATGCATTAATGAAACTTTTGTGTACAAGTTTTACATACTTATAGACATATATAAAATGCCTTTACACAGACATGCTTTGTTACTATAAAAAGTTTACTAAACTATATCTTTCTAATTGATATTAGAAATATCATTATATTAATATAATTGATATTAATATTAATATAATTGATATTAGAAATATCAGCAACAGAGTGGTCAATGTCTGGAATACTCTACCTGACTTTGTGGTTTCTTCCCCAAACCCCAAAAACTTTAACCTCAGACTGTTTACTATTGACCTCACCCCTTTCCTAAGAGGTCTGTAGGGGCGTGCATAAGCGCAGCAACGTGCCTACCATCCCTGTCCTATTGTTTCTTTTATATTTTTCTTATATGTATCCATGTATTCATAACTATGTTTTTACTTATACCTATTATCTTGTAAGCAATTGACAAAAATAAATAAAATAAATAAAAATAAATAAATATTTATTTATGTGTAGCTTCCAGAAGTTGTGAATGCTCCAACAATGGAAGTTTTAAAGAAGAGATTGAACAAATATCTTTCATTTGTCTGAAATGATATAGGGGTTACCTGCCTGAGGTGGGGGTAGGACTAGAAGGCCTCCAAAGCCCCTTCCCACTCTTTTATTCTGTTCCTATATAAGTTAAATTATTGTTTCCAACTGTGATCTTGTCCCAAAGGTGCTTTTTCAAAGAAGCAGCTGGACTTCCTTGTTTTTCTTTGAAGATGTTTCACTTCTCATTCAAGATGACCTGGATGACTGAGATTCTCCACAGACATTTAACGATACAGTTTGGGATGGACACCCTTCAAATGATGAGGGAACAAGCAGAGCTGAAGAAGCTTCTCAGATGAGAAGCGAAATGTCCTCAAAGAAAAACAAGAAAGCCCAGCTACTTCTTGAAAAAGCACCTTTGGGACAACCATCACCTGGATGACTGAGAATCCCCATACACATGTAGCCTTGTGCAGACACACCCACCAATATGGCATGTACCCTTTTTTTTTTCCCCTGTGGCAACCTTGCACCTTTACTTGTTTTATATCAGATTCTGAAGAATGTGAAGTAGTGACTCTAAATATGCCATTAGCACAATCCTTTTGCCAAGAACCTTTACCCCCGATGTTCTGATAAACTTCTCTTTCCTGGTCAGATGTTCATGGAGATTATAAATACTTTCTTATTGTCATAGTATTCAAAGTTCATTGTGTGTGCATAAATAGGCCACTGGTCTGGAATGAAGAAGCTCTCCTTTGAATGGCTGCTTTCTGAATTTAACAAGAACATCTTGGAAAGATTAGGTAAGTGAAGATTTTACAGAATGTTTCTGTTTCTACATAAATAAGAAACAAATATGTGCTATAACTCTTCCTGGCACTGTTAAAGGTATGCTTAGATTTTAAATCAAAGGTCGTTCCTTGCTTTTTATGAGAGAAGTAGAAAATGGGGATTTTCTTCAATAGAAGTAAGAATTTATATGAGAGATGAGTGAAGAGTCTGTTTAATTTGCAGTGTTTCAATCTTATAAAAATAAACCAGTCATTTGCTGAAGTTGGGAGTCATGTTGGAGAAAAAGAATTGGAAACTGGATTATATTCATAAGCACAGATATGAGAACCTTATAAACTTATAGCTACCCAGAGTCACCTTGTAGGGGAGGTGGGTGGCATAGAAATTTAATACAAACTGAATGAAATCTGTGAGAAAACATCTTGCAATCATAAAGGATGTACAAAGCTAAATGGCATATTATAAGCAATTAGCTAGAATTAAAAACAGGAATTGATCAGAGATTGTTCCATTGGTTTTGATGTCCATAAGCTGAAAAATAGCTTATTTGCTACCTTCATGTCTATTCTGTATTTACCATGATCAGAAGAGGACAACCAGCAACAAAACGGATGAACTCAGTTGCAGTGGCGATGATGAGTGGACCCTTGGAAGATCCGAAAAACCAGGTTAGGGACAGGTCATTATGGAGAAAATATATCAATATAGCAGGATTCTGGTGAGAGAGAAGTTCCCTGAGGATGGGCTCCAGGATGAGTCCGAAAGCTAAGAAGACCGGTCCCAGTGACCAACACAGATTGGAACTCACAACATTATCCTGGAATACGTATATTTGCCTTCATTCATGTATCAGTGCAGTCACAAAGAGTCGACAAAATCTTGATAGCACATAATCAATCAACTTTTGTGAACAACCAATGTTATTTTTAAAAAGTAATAAATTAAACATTAACTATATAAGTATTTTACTTACAAAATTGCTTAAAATTGACTTGTGCATTCCAGATTCTATAATTCCCAGCCCATATGGACTTCTCTACAAGACCATATCAGTTCCTGAATTTTTTGTTGTTAATAAAACAGTTCAGAGATGGTGTCTTCATATGGAACTCATAGTTCTTTGTAATGAAGTAAAACAAAGAGAATCAAAAGAAAACATTCTATTACAATTTATTTTGTTTTCAAATGAGAAGTTTAAAATGTTAAGTTTAATATTTGTCACAAGTTAGATGTTGTCTCATTTAGTACCATTTAAAGTGTTTCCAATGTACATGTTTATCATGATGACTTTACATATTTAATTTACCACATGTTGTAATCCCAAGAGTATTGGTTGTTTATGATAATAACGCCCCCCCCCCCAAAAAAAAATACATCTATACTAAAAGATTACTTCATTATTAAGTAATAAAATCTAAAGACCTTCATATCTTTATCCAACCTAGGTGTCTGCATAGGGTCGTTTGGTAGACATGTATTAGTTGATAGGTCTACCTTTCCTATTCACAAGAAACAATACTTTTTATCCAGAAAAAAAGAACACTATGTCCAATGAACTTGATGTAAAGAAGAGGACTCAGGTCAAGAATTCAGGGGAATTGGCAGTAAATTGAGACATCAGATTCTGTTGGACTCATGTTGGAGTATTCTTGTTTTTAGGTCACCATGGAGGAAGAATATGTACAAGGACAATTCAAGAAGTTGCAAGCACAACGTATGATCATGCAGAAAAAAACATTTACCAATTGGCTGAATAATGTTTTCTACAAACAACATGTAGGTAGCTTTCTTGTAATATTCTTCATAGATGATCCCTTAAAACAATTTTGCTGGTGTTAACAAATTCTTCTGCCTAATTTCACCAATCAACTTAATCTGTGATTTCGTTCATTATTTTTAAAATTATAACAGCAAGAACAATACTCTGCAGAAAAGTCTTAGAAATAGAACTTTATAATAGGGTATCTGAGCGTGCCTTTTTCTCTATAGCTTTCACCTGTTAGGTCAAGATAAAAGAGCATTGCCTCTCTCCTGCTTATTATTGAACAGTTGAATAACTACTAGTCCAATATCAGCTTCATGTCACAATTTCCATAAGTAAGATAGCATTAAGAACATAACTTCATGCTATTGTTGTTGGCTTTATTTGTGATCCTATAATTTTGTAGGCAAACATTAAGATTCTAGATCTCTTCACTGAACTGAAAGATGGTATTTATCTCCTGCATCTTTTGGAGCTACTGTCTTCTGAACAACTACCCAGGCCAAACAAAGGCAAGATGAGAATTCACTTTTTGGAGAACAATAGCAAAGCCATTCAGTTCCTCAAATCTAAGGTGATGTATACAGTTTGGGGTTATAATAGGCATTAATCAAGCTTTGGTTGGGATGGGAAGGTGGAAGTCATATTGTCAACTGATGTGGTTCTATCCACTGATGATTTTAATTATTTCCCACCTCCACTTTCACGATGGGGAGGGAAAATACCTACTAGCACTGTTAAAAACATAGTCACTCCTGAAAATAAGTTGATTGCATGAATCACTTTTGTCCAATTGTTAAAAACCATGCAAATTAGTCAGCATGTAAGAAGGATAGCAAAAATGGAAACGTTTATCTCTATGTTTTGCATGTTTTCCAAGACCTATTCCTAAATGGCTGACCCCTTTTTTTTTTTATTCTCAGAGACTTTAGTAAACACACTAATGATAAGAACCTCTTGTGTATTCAGCAGATACATGTGAAGCTAATTGGACCAGAAAACATAGTAGATGGAGACCAGACCCTGATCCTTGGATTAATGTGGATAATTATCCTCAGATTTCAAATTTCATTTATCAGTCTTGACAAGGTAAAATTGTAATTTAAAAGCTCCTCACTTTTTTCTTTCTGATTTTACCTGTTAGCTTAATAATTCTTCAGCAATCTAAAATTTGAAACAACATTTAAGACTGAAAAGAAGCATAGAGGTTATTGTATCATCTGCAGGAAACTATATGATATTGTTCTCCTATAGGTCCAGAATTGGAACCTTCATACAAAATTAGTGAAATATTTAAGTTAATATTCTACATATCTATATCTATATAATCATTGAAATCGGTATCTAGTGATATAAAAATGAGATAAATTCTGTCACTCTGTCACTCTGACTTCTGAACCCTCAGAGAGGTAGAGCAAATGCATAAAACGAACCAACTAAATTTTGTATTTACAGCTAACTATTAATCATACAAGAGAAGCATAATGGCTCAGCAGTTAAAAATGCTGGACTTGTTGGTTGGAAAGTCAGCCGGGTTCGAGACCCAAGCATCACATGACAGAATGAGCTCCCATTCTGGCCCCAGCTCCTGCCCACCTAGCAGTTTGAAAACATGCAAATGCAAGTCAATAGATAGGTACCACTTCAGTGGGAAGATAACAACATTCCATGCACCTTGGTGTATAGTCATGCTGACCACATGATCATGAGCAATGTTGGCTCCCTCAGCTAAGAAACAGAGATGAGCACCACCCCCTAGAGTCGGATAAGACTGGACAGGGGAAACCTTTTCTTTATTAACCATATAATTAACTATAATTTAGATCTGCATGTACTTCTGTTGCTGGCTACTAAGCATTTTGCTTTGTTTTGCTTCTTGTGGAGTTTTAGTTTTGCTGGTTTAAATTTAGATTATCTTATGAATGCTCTTGCCTTGTTGGCTTCCTAGGGTGAATTTGGATCCAGAGTTGATGCTCTTTCTTCCAATGAAGCTCTACTAGTTTGGTGTCAACGTAAGACAGCCAGCTATTCTAATGTCAATGTGAAAGACTTTTCCAAAAGCTGGAATAATGGGCTAGCCTTCAATGCCCTCATTCATGCTCACAGGTAAAGGAAAGTATGAGTTCAATCTGATATATTATTTCTTTATAATTGAGAAAGGTACTGAAGGATAACAGAAAAAGATTTTCATCCAGAAGGAACATAATGAAACTTTAACAAATTATGTGGGTGAATGTAGATAGAACAACTTTATTTTTGTTGTCTCTGTCTCTCTTGTATACTATTAGAATCTATTACTCTAATGGATTGTTTGTATTCTACTATACAATATACTATATAAATTCTGTAATATTAGAATCCATAATCATCCTATAAACATGAACAGTCAGAAGTTCAGGATAGATATAGCAAGCATTTCTTATTTATTGTTGAATTATGATACCTGTTAAAGCAAGTTGTAACAAGATAAGAAATTGAATAATGTCATGGAGAACAATCTATCAGTTGTTACCTTCAAGATCCAAGGAAGCATGCCTTTCAGATGAGTCATTGGTGAGCCACAAGAGTCAGGGTCAATGATATACTGCTTACGGTTTTTGCAATTGCACCTGGCTGGCCATTATGGGCAAAAAGAATCATGAATACATGCTGAATGTCCATTTTAAACAAAAGTGATGTTTTCTTACTATACTCAGAAAAAACAATTAGAATGGAAATTTTAAAATGCTACTTTAGGAGATACAAATCACAGCATTTCCATGTCTTCTAGAAGGCAAGTTAAGTCTTATTGTTCTATTGTTTGTTCACCCTTATGGACCTCTCCAAATATGGTGATGCATGTAAGAAAAATATTTGTTTTACTAGAAAAGTGCATAAATATTGAATGAGAATTTCTTTGAAGATGAATACAAATACTGTATATAGATTGCTCAAAATTTCAAATTGTTACATCCTATCTTTTTAAAGTCAGATACAGAAAATGACTTGCATTACTCCATGTCATTCAGCAAATTGTTTCTGTTTTATAAGCAGATCTATATACTTTTCAGATACAGATTCTGAGGGGAAATTAATAAGTTTAACATGGAGTGAATGGCACTCCAGTAAGTTCTGAAACACTTTTAACAGCTATTGGAAAAGTTACTTTAGGTAATAAATCTATTACAAATGTTAATCACATGGACATCCCCCAATTCACATTCTCTCGATTCTATACATTGTAATTGTATGGTGATTCTATGAATACTTATTTTGAAGTACCTAATCCAGTCAGAAAAGAAAGATACATTAAGCTTTTCTTCCATAAATATTGTATTACACGGCCTCTGACACCCCTATCAATAGGCTATTAAAACTCTAGCAAATTTCTATAAATCTTGAGAGGGAAATGCATATGTCCACTTCCTTGCATTTTCTAAACATAATCCCCTTCATTTACTTATTTTTATTTTTGATCTTTTCAGGCCTGATCTTATACAATACAGCTCTCTGCGGCATGACCAGCCCATAATTAATCTAAATAATGCCTTCACCGTGGCAGAGAAGCACCTGGGAATCTTAAAGTTGTTGGATGCTGAAGATGTGGCGGTACCATTTCCAGATGAGAGATCCATTATGACCTATGTGTCATTCTATTACCATTACTTTTCCAGGCAGAAGCAGGGTCAGACAGTCCAGAAAAGGCTTACTAAGGTCAGTGTATTGCTGTTTTGGTAATTAGCATTCCTAATGTCTGGTATGTCTTAAGTAAATAATTTCTGCAGCTCAGATAGAACGTGGACTCTGTCTTCATCTATGGAACGCATAGTTTTCCCTAGTCAAAAAAATGCCTAAGGAAGTACAGATGCTGTTAAGATGAAACTTAGCTGAACTCCTATAACATGGTAACATCTGCAATTTGGAACAGATAGATTATGGCTTCTCAGCACCTTGAGGATGGAACACATGTCCAATGCACTGGCCTAAAGTAGCCATTTGCAGCCAAGCTTTTCATTCATCTAGAGGTGGTATAAATATAAAGAGTTACACATTATTTTAATTGCTATTTGCATTTTCCTTTGGGTAACTCAGTGGCATTACAGTGATAATTTTGTTTGAACGCAATCCATTTGTTTCTAGCACTGTGTGATTAATCTCATCTTACAAAATATATATAATCACACATACTGCACTAGGATGTTTTTTCCTTTATATCCAAGAGAAATTCTGGAAGAAAAATTGGATCAGGACTGTGTTGAATGTATATTAATGTAGAGACAGTCCTGGTGCAATTTACAATTGCGATTTTAGCAGAAAACCAAGATGCCATGATGAGTTGCTTATGGAACATGAAATTTTCTTTTAAAGGCTCTTGGGTGAAACTTGGCTTTTCTGAAAATGCAAATACCATAGAATTCTACTGACTAAGATCAAGGAAAAAAAGTACATGTTATGTTTGATTTTTTTGTGCAGATCGTGTTCTGCCTGAAAGAGACAGATGAATTGAAATTCCAATATGAACACATGATCTTTGAACTCTTGAAATGGATAAAGCTCAAAGTGACAGAACTGGATGACCGTTCCTTCCCCAATTCTCTCGAGAAAATGCGCTTCCTCATGAATAACTTTAAGGTCTTCCGCACTACAGAGAAACCTCCCAAATACCGTGAGAAGGGAATAATTGAAGCCAATTTTTTCCACATACGGACCAAACAGCAAGTCAACAATCAGCGTGCTTATCTGCCCCCTGAAGGAAGAACTTTAAGAGATCTGGAAAAAGAATGGATTGCTTTGGAGAAAGCAGAGGGCAGTCGAGGAAAAGCAATACTGCAGGAGCTGTTAAGACTTGAGAAAGTTGAGCAACAGGTCCAGATATTTCTGAAGAAAGCAGCCATTCGTGAGGCCTATTTGAGGAACATGAAAGAGATAATCAAAAAGCAGGATGATTGGCAACCTGACAATGTAGAACAGCTTCAGGCAGGCACTAGGAAACTAGAGGCGATTGAAGCAGACATGCTTCCCCAAGACCAGCGCTTCAAAACCTTGTCTACAATGGCTGCTGAAATCATGCGGGAGAACTATCAGGACAAGGCCTTGATTGCCAAAAAGTGCGTAGGATGCTTTCAAATTGGGGCAGTAGTCAGAATTGGTGTTGGAGAAAATGAAAAGCACATCACAGATATCTGTTTAGCATGAATTAATGCAACCTCCATCTTTGGAAAGAGTAAATTCAACTGATCATATTATATTATATTTTGAATTCTTCCAATAACAAAAATGTTAGGACAGATGATAGATAAATAAAAATAAATGGCACTTACAATCACAATAGTAAAACATCTTAGTGAGTAATACAAGAAAGAACAAAATATCCACAAGCTCCTAATGCAAGTATTTATAATTTCAAAATTACACAATTAGAGTCTAATATTTCTATAACGGAATGAGGGTCTTTGTGTGTGTATCTATTTACCCAACTCTTTCTAATCTTATTGTATGTGCCATATATCTTATTTGATGGGTTTTGAATTATGTAGATTTTTTTTATTTTGCCTTAATGTAGCCTATGCTTTTCTGTGGATGTCCATGTTTCTGTGCTTATGTATATATTTGTGTAAATTTTTGTACATTTCTTTTGCTCCACCTGCCCTTTCTTTTTCTTTTCCATTATTTTGTTGCACATATTTCTTCTTCTTTTCTTCTCCATCTGAATCTTAAAAACCCTTTAGTCTACACTCTTAGCTTTGATTGCTTCTCACTTGAGCTTCTGCCAGGATTTAAAATTCCTATGCACTCCCTAAGCCAATTTTGTCCTGGGCATCTTTTATTTGTCTGGCCACTTCTGCAGATCTCACCTGCAAAACACTTGGATCTTTCACTCCAGCACATAGTATTTCCTCCTGGTACACTGATGCCACCTGCCCAGAAGTCATGATTTTTTGAGCTGGGCCATGGGCACACTCCAACTAATTCAGCTGCACTAAATCCCAGAGGACAAGAAAAAAAGGAAAAAGAAATTCCACACAACTATCGTGAGGCTCTCCTTCTACATTGTTGTACAATTCACTTTTTTCACATATCAGATAACCAAGCTAGAAATTGAAAAAAAAAAATCAAAATTGCTAATGAATATTACAATTTGAAGTTGCATTTCCCCCATTCGATAAAACTTCATGTTTCCCCACAGCAGCTGATGTTGTAAATAAGATATGTAGAAGTATATCATGTAATGACATTAGAATATGGGGTAACTTGAATTGCCCATTAGTGAAGTCTTGTGATATCACATTTTTCTTCTTCTTTTTGCTCTCTTCACAGGCAAATGGACATCATTCATCAATGGCAAGATCTCTGGGATCATTTCAAAAGACAAAAACACGCTATGGGAAAGATGCAGGAAGTGCTAGTCCTTTTGAGGGATATTGACACCATTATGGAAGAACTTAAAGGAGTGCAGGTATATTGAGTTATTAATTATAAAGGTAGACATTGGTGACTATGGTCTTTAATGAATGCTTCCAATTCATAGCCTATGAAAAGAGAACGAATAAGGATGTGTTATGCAGAAGGGGTATCTGGAATTAGAATCTGAACTTAAACCATAGATCATAACTACGAGTACTCATAAAAATCTATTCATGTATCTTTGGAGGGATTGTCTCCATTAAATTAGAAGATTATATGTTGAAAACCAATGATATGTAGGAAGAAATATTGTGCAAATCCAGCAAGCATTATTAATTAGTTTTCTTTTTTTTCTATGACAAAGCCAGGTATATATAAACTTTGAAGCAGACAAGCAAATAGCAACCATTTGTAAATTTCTATGTTAATAGTAGATATTGTAACAGAACCTTGAAAGTCTGTAAAAAGAAGTCTCCAGTTTAGCTTTTATACTAGCAAAATTAAGACAGTTACTCCAAGTCTCTTTCACATACTGTGGTACGTCAATATTCACTAATTGGTTCTGTGAGATGCAATGAGTACCAAAAACAACGAGTACCAAACATTTTTTCCCATAAGGAATAATGTAGTGAGTCACAAGGTAACTGACACCAACTAGTTCTAGCTTGAGTACCAAACAAACAAAATGTTAATGTCAAAATAATGTTGAGTACCAAATTTCATAAGTTTCAAAGCAGGGGAATATTAACGTATCACTGTAGATCCCTCCTTGCTAGTCTGGGGAATTTGTTTGCAACGATCCTGTTTCTTCCTCCACTTTTCCCTGTTAGACATTCCATCATAGCACAAGATCTTATGCAACCATTAATTAGAACATTTCTCTCTATCTCAACAGATGGCAACACAAGGAAACATATTATCTGACTATTATTATTATGGTCAGCCAGATGTTTAGACTGGATTTGACATGTTTGATGATCTATCAAGTCCTTCCCAAGGACCTTGTTTAAGAGATCATCTCAGAATGTGTGTCAAGTAGCATAAGTCCAACTTTCCCATTCTAGTTGGTTCACAATTCTTCAGGTTCCCCAAATATTAGAGGGCAACAGATTAGGAAAGGGTGTTGTAGAGCAGGGGTCCCCAACCACCGGTCCGCGGACCGGTACTGGTCCGCGGAACAACTCCTACCGGACCGCTGGCTTGCTGTGCGCCGCCATCTTTTTTTGATGAAAAAGTGCTTCCGGTGAGCTTTTCCGGGTAGAAAGCTCACCGGAAGCACGTTTTCATCAAAAAAAGATGGCGGCGCCCACCTGATGCCGGTACCGGGCCGCGGCGCCCAGCTGATGCCGGTACCGGGCCGCAGCGTAAAAAAGGTTGGGGATCACTGTTGTAGAGCATGTCACCATTCCATGATTTCTTATATTTCTTTTCATATGCGAATATGTAATAGATGTCATGATTTAGCAAGATGACATTATCATGCTAAGGATCTTTGGTAACATTACTTCAATGACTTGGATCATACCAATAAAATTTACTTGTTTTGAGTTTGATGTGTAATAAGGATAAAATTAGTCACTGTCTTTTGTAAATCATGGTTTGTGGTTTAGTATAATATATGAACCAAACCAATTGTAGTAAATTATTTAATGTATTATTTTACAAACTATGTATGAATTTGGGGACCGCCTGCGATCAAGTAGCTGAAAAATGTACAAAATATTTTTTTCATTCTCTTTCTAGATATTAGTAAGCTCTAGGGATTGTGGCAAGGAGCTCTTAGAAGCAGTAGAATTGTTACAGAAGCACAAATTAGTTGCCTCCCAAATCTATTCTCTTGAGGAAAGCATCATGTACATTTCTGGAAAAAAAGAAGATATAATACAAAGGAAGCCAGTTAAATCAGATATGCTTCAAGCCAAATATCAGATGCTTCATCAGCTACATCAGAATCTTCAGCATTCCTGCCAAACAAGGTAAAATTCTTGTAAATATTGATGAATACTTTGGTTTAATCTGAAAATAAAAGAAAGGTCTGATCTTAGATTGGGATTCTCTATGCATGATTTATGTTTCTCTGTTCCACGCATTCATGAAAGAGAAATGAAAGGCCATGGGGGCTCAGTCCCCTCAGATAAATCCTATATATTTTTGTCAATTATTTAAAAAGGCATGCCCATATGTTATAAATAATCCAAAATAATGTTAAATTTTTGATATTCAGGCAAAGGGCAGAATAATTCTGATTCTTTAAGAATGATATTGGCAAGTATACCAAGCTCTTAAAATGAATCTGGGAAGAATCATTATTTTTGGCTACATCTCTCTCACACACACACACTCATTTGTACTCACTCTCTCACACACACGTCATTGTGTGCAGGAATATCTCCCCAGTATATGGGCTAGGCACTCCTAAGTCAAGATAGGAGATTCCATAGAAAGTTGTGAAGAATAAGAGGGATGTGGGACTTCCATATCCAGACTGTCAAGGTGGTATGAGCCAATCAACCAGATATCATGGTGGTAGACAAGGACCAGAAGACAGAGTGTTGACAGATGTAGTGATGCCAAATGACAGTAACATTGGGACCTTAAGGAGGAACTAGAGGGAATGTTGAAAGTAAAAAAATCAAAATGGTGGTAGGAGCACACAGGGCTGGGAACTGGCTCCAACAAATGCCAGGAACAACATTAGAGTTCTCTAGGCTGAAGAATGCAGTGCTAGGAATAGCTAATATATGTGTAAGAACCTCAAACTTCCAGGCCTCTGGTAGAGGGCCTAAGATTGAGGAAGATCCTTTGGGATGAGAAGGATTTTTTAAATATATACTATATACTATTAAATTCTAGGTACATCTTCAGTTATATATTAATAGAGAGTGCAATCTGTAGGAAACTTTAGCATCAAAGGTTGTGTGGAGTAAGGGTGGGGAGTTGGGTATTTATGATTGGGGGATTTTTTTGAACATGTCTTTTAATTTGGCTTAGCCTTGTTCTCTTAAAGTTTGGAAATTTTTTTTTATCATTTTCTTTAATATTATCCCTGAATAAAACTTATTATGGGCAAAAAAACAGAAAATCAACAGCTATCTTTTATTTAATGCATTTCAATTTTGCTGAGAAATGTAATATTAAATTAAGCGAAACACATGAGATTTTTTCCAAGAGAAGGAAAACACAGAAATATAGAAGTATAATTTTACCAAATCAATTTATAACAGCAAATATTTAAAAGTTGTTCCATGATTTCTTCTGTTGAGTGATTCTGGAGTAAAAATAAGCTGGTTCCATACTGTATTTTATATTTTAATAAGTTGAAATTGCTAGAAAAACCTGAAATAACCTTTTAAAGCAGGGGTCTTCAAACTTGACAGCTTTAAGACTTGTGGACTTTAACTCCCAGAATTCCTGAGCTAACATGACTGGAGAAGGAATTCTGGGAGTTAAAGTCCACAAGTCTTAAACCTGCCAAGTTTGAAAACCCTTATTTTAAGGTGCATCATTTATTTGTTTGATTCAGGCAGCATCAGTTGGAAGGTGCTTTGAAGTTTTTTGAATTTTTTCATGAATGCAAAGAAGAGGAGAAATGGTTGTCTGACAAATGGAAATTAGTGAAGATGGGGACTTTAGAGGATGATCTCACTCATATTTCAGCCGCTCTCCAAAGCCATAAGGTTGGTAAAATATATTTTCTTTATCGTTTGTATGATTTTAATAGAAATCCGTAGAAAAGCTGTGAATGTAATGGTGAGACTACATTTCTCATTGTTATCACTGATGAAGCCATAAGGTGGCATTACAGAGAAGAAAAAAACGAAACACTCTCCAGCATTCCTGATTACTTAGATTTCTCTGAAAACTGTAAGAAGTACATATTGCTCTCCTTCTTCCTGCCTTTTCTACATAATTCTATTAAGAATTTTGGTTATAATTGTAAAATCTATTTTTTTCTTTAAAACTGAAAGAAAGAAAGAAGATTAGAAAGGAAAAGTAAAAAACACAAGAAAAAAGAAAGAGAAGAAAGAGGAAAGTAAGACTATAATAAAGGAAAAGAAATATACAAAGAAGTAATTTCCAATCTTCATCACAAGAATAAACTAATTTAGTGCCTCTTCATCTCCTCTAAAAGTCACAAACACTTATCTCTTCATCCCATACTCCACCACAAATTCACAAAAATAATATTTTAAGTATTGGTGTCAAAAGAAAATCCATAAGGAGTTGCCAAAAGTAACAACATATCTTGTTTAAATCTTGGTCAAATAAACCAACTTTATATTTCTTCCTCTTATTTCTAATAGTCTTAATCCTTAGTTCATTCAAATATTGTCATAGGATTTTATTTCTTTTCATTTCTTCTTTGTTCCATCATATAGAGTTATTCAAGGTTTTAATGAGCCTCTTTTGTATATCCAGTTAGAAAACATCCTACAGGTCACTTTCTTGGTTTGTCATTTGTATTTTTCTTTTAAATTTTAATATCTCAAACATTTTCTTTTGTGGATCCATTCAGAGGTGGTATTCAGCAGGTTCTGACCCATTCTGGAGAACTGGTAGTGGAAATTTTGAGTAGTTCAGAGAACCAGCAAATACCGCCTGTTAGGGTTTTGGAAATTAACCCCTAGAAGAGTATTGCAGCAGTAG